GTACAATGGTTACAAGACTCGTACAGCATGATACTCGTACAATGGTTACAAGACTCATAAATGATACACGTACAATAGTTACAAGACTCGTACGACATGATACACGTACAATGGTTACAAGACTCGTACATGATACACGTACAATAGTTACAAGACTCGTACGACATGACACACGTACAATGGTTACAAGACTCGTACAGCATGATACTCGTAGTACAATGGTTACAAGACTCGTACAGCATGATACTCTTACAATGGTTACAAGACTCGCACAGCATGATACTCGTACAATGGTTACAGGACTGGTAAAGCATGATACTCGTACAATGGTTACAAGACTCGTACAGCATGATACACGTACAATGGTTACAAGACTCGCACAGCATGATACTCTTACAATGGTTACAAGACTCGTACGACATGATACTCTTACAATGGTTACAAGTCTTGTACGGCAAGATACACGTACAAGGGTTACAATACTCTTACAGCATGATCCTCGTAGTACAATGGTTACAATACTCTTACAGCTACAAGACTCGTACAGCATGATAATCTTACAATGGTTACAAGAATCGTACGACATGATACTCTTACAGTGGTTACAAGACTCGTACAGGATGATACTCTTACAAGGGTTACAAGACTGGTCCAGCATGATACACGTAGTACAATGGTTACAATACTCTTAAAGCATGATACTCGTACAATGGTTACAAGACTGGTACAGCATGATACTCTTACAATGGTTACAAGATTTGTACAGCATGATACACGTACAATGGTTAAACGATTTGTACGCCATGGTTAAAAGGTTTGTACGCCATGGTTAAAAGATTTGTACGCCATGGTTAAAAGATTTGTACGTCCTTTATAATCAAGGGTTCCACTCTCATACACTTATCGTTTCTGCACTCCTGTAATATGTCCTAACAAAAATGGATAGCTTACAGTAAGCTATAATAACCAATGAGCTACACGCAACTTCAAAGGCACTTGATTTTACCGCTACGCTGTTGCGCTAATAATTTAATTTTCATTAATGAAATCAAAGTAGTCAAGATGTATATTATCCGCAAGGTGTCGCTCACCCTCGACATTCCAGGGATAAAGTTCACTATTATTTAATGCATCTCTGGAATATGACATGACAAAAACGAAGGCATTTTTAAGCAGTTGGCTATTTGATTGTCTTCAATACATGCTTTTTGAAGCCGGACAAGTTTACCGTTACTCTGCCTCTCAATTCTTTGATGTGCAACAACGGATCAAATTGGTCTCCTTGTATCGTACACAAGATGGCGCATGGTCGTTATAACCTACACCATGTGTGCAGCGAACACTGCGTATCGGACGTGGAAACCTTACATTTCGAGGATGACGCCAAGGTAACAAGACTCGTATAACATCGTCGAAAGTTGCATACTACTTGTATATGGTTACAAGTACTAAAGCATACTTTCAATTCAATTGAAGATAGGTTTAGTTTCGTCTTACTTCCAGATATTTTCAATTGAACTGTACAATTTTATATATGAAGATGGGTGCAATTAATTGAATGAATATATATGCTTAGTTGATGTATGGGATCATGTTTCACTCTAGAGAGTCAGGCCCAGGGGGTTAGTAAGGTTAAACAATCCCCTCTTTAAGAGATGAAATGGTCACTCTAAATTTGTACCCCCTGTTAAAACATACCACTCTGTACCGGTACCAGTTTCTTTATACAAAGGATCAGCTAACTGGAAACATAGTGTGTGTTGTACAGGGGATAACCGATGCAGACTAAACTACCTGGTCGCTTCAATACCTATACAATTTAATGGGTTCGCTTGCTTACATGTCGACATGAAATGTTACATGATATACTGATAACCGTATAAAGCGGAGGCGTATTTTCCGGTTACTTGACGTTTTTTTTTTTTACTGTTTTTAACAGCATCGTCGATTGCCCACGGCCGATTGCGCAACACTTAACGAAATTGATCGTAGGTAGCTGACGATGGTTTTAAGGAGGCGTGTGCACAGTCCCGACATGTGGTTTGGACAATGGTTCTTTAACTTATAAGGGGGTAATTCTAACTATATAGACTTTGTGAAAAAGAAAAATGGTATTTTTATATTTTCTCTTATATGTATTTACCAATAATCAGGTCACAGTGACTTTTACCTCTAGGCAGTACAATGAACTTCTTGACTGGGCTTTACAATTTCAAACCGTTCATGGCAAAACTTATCTTGATCAAACTCAAAACTACAGCATCATCAATCTTGATAAAATACCTAATTACAAAACAATTGTATTACTCATATCGGGCAAAAATATTTTATTTCACTGTATCACAATGACTGCATCTTTTCCTGGTTGACGAGCCCCTGTGTCAAAAAGATTTGCCGCTTATCTAGTTATCATTGGACCCCACTTACACGTTAGAGTCTGATCAGTATACACTTTACATTCAGATAAGTATCAGCAGGACGACAGCCACGCGCTCGTTGCTGGACCGGACTGTAAGTACATAGTAAAATCTGCTACACTTAACTACATGTAGATACTTATGTTTACTAACTAAAGACTTAAGTAAAAGGGAAACTGCTAAATAATTGTGGTTTATATAATCCGCATACAAGTGTTTGATGGCAGCCGATTCACTTCCGGGTTGTGTATATACGACACGAACGATAATCTGCATGCACTTTGATATGAGTATATGCTGGATACTATATCATCATAAAAAATACGTGTTACAATGAGCAAAGCTCATATATGCTACACACCATCCCATCTTTCTGCTTTTCTCAGTCATTTAAAATAACACGAAAGCGTCATTTACTGATATAGGTTTGAACAAAGCAATTGAAAAGGCACGGACGTTTTACCTAAACATTATTTTACTATAAGGGTGCAGTGTACGTTACAGGTAGAAGGATGTGTCTACATAACCAGGCGGTAATGACCTAGTTGTGTCGGCAAGGTATACATTATAGGCTCCAGTGAGCAGTTGACTTGAAATAACTTTTGCCTTATAAATACATGTACATTCCTTCTGTTGGTCGCCTCCAGCTCTCGAAAGATATACAGAAAGTGTTTATTAGTTAATTATACACCCGTGTATTGAATCAAAGGGACGTGGAAGTTAAAACTTGTATCATTGCAATCCTTGGACCTATCCTGATGCGTAGAGAGTATCAACTCTCGGTAAGAATTACCCCCCC